TTTTTTTTTTTTTTCTCTCTCGTTATTTTCTTTTGAAAAGAAACTTTTCTTATATCTCAGGTTATCATTAATTTATTTGTAAAGGTATTTAATTCAAACACTTTTTTTCCATTCTTTCCATTCTTTCCATTTACCGCTTACTGAACAAATAGATGAATATTATTATGTTGTTGTTGGTTTTCTTTTTTTTTTTTTCTTTTTTTTTACGATCGAACGTATTTAATTTTATGTAATAATTTTCAAAATGAAATTCGTGATTTAATAAAAAAATGAAAAATGAAAAATGAAAAAAAAAAGTTTTTTCGTTCAGCTAATCATGCATCTCTTGTTGTTGCGTAATGATCAAATATTGTTTTTTTCTTTTCAAATTTTAATTTCAATATTTTTTTTTTTTTTTAAAAAAAAACGGAAACCGTGGGGAAGGTGTAATAAATACGTGTCAATTTAATTTCTATTATTATTATTATTATTTTTTTTTTTCAACCCCTTTGTCGAGAATTGTGTGAATTAAAATAAATAAATATTCCACGGTTTGATGATAAATTGAAAGTTTGAAATAAACGCATTTTGAGTTTGAAATATCTAAATTAAGAAGTGACACAGAGTAAAAAATGTTCAATGAGTGTTTCATAGGCCCTTCCTTCCTTCCTTCATTTAAGCATTTATCATTGAAGAATTAATTAATGAAGAAATTATTATTATTATTATTATTATTATTATTATTATTAGCAGTAGTTAAATCTTTATATTTTCAAAACAATTTCAAAATTTCATTCATCAAACTTTGTTGTCGTTGTTGTTGTTTTTTTTTTAAATGTTTTTTTTTTTTTCCCGGAGTGATTTGATAATCCGATTTTTTAAATCTTTTTCAATTTTTTTTTTTCATGGGAAAAGTTTATCGATATTTTTTTTTTCTTTTTGAAAAGGTTCGATTATTGAAGTTTTATGCAAAAATCATAGAAAATTGTTATTCGTTTTTTTTTTGTTTGTAGCAATAACCTATTTATGACAAAATAAATTGATGACAATTGTATGCGAACTTTACTTTTTTTTTTTTTTTTATTACCATATTAGGCAAATTTTTTTATTTTTTAATTTGCTGTCAAAAGCATAATAAAAAGTTTTAAAACAATTTCAAATTAGGAACTATTGGCCTACAAAAACAAAAAAGCCTAAACCGATTTACTAATATATATATATCTAACAAACCTATTTAAAATAGGCCAAAATAAAAATTTTATTTTATTTTTTTGTTGATATGACGACTACGTTTATCGATAATCTTTTTTATTTTTTTAAAATTAATAGTAGAAAAAATAATAATGATAAAACGGGTTATGTAGAATTTCGGTAGAAAATTATTTTTTTTTTTTAATTCAATTTTAATTATTTAAAAGTTAAAAATTTTTACAATTTGAGTTTCGTTGACTTTTTTTTTTTGAAAGGGGGGGGGGATAATGAATAAGTGAAAAATCGTGGGAAAGTCAATCGGATGCCATTTTGAAATTATGCAGATATTATTATTATTATTATACAAAGTTCTCAGAATAATGTTTTTCGTTTTAAGAAAACAAAAAAAAAAAAAAAAATTTATGAAATTATATTTATTTACTTAACAGATTGGTTGTTGAAAGCTTGTAGACAGTCTACAATTAATTGGAGTTAAAAAAAAAAATATTTTCGGGTCCGTCATGCAATGTTGATACGCTCAGGAAACAAAAAAAAAAAAAAACAAACGATGTTTTCTAATAAAAGATTTTGAAAAATAAAATAATAGTAATTATTATTATTATTATAAGAAGGAATTTTTTGTACTTTCGTTCGTTAAAATTTATTTTTGCTGACGGTTAAATAAGTGTTAGACCGAACTGTCGTTATTCATTTTTTAAAAAACTTTTTTCTTTGTTTTCTGTCTTTTCGACATTTTGAAAATCAATTTTATCGTATCGATTATCATTGATTCGGTTTCAATCTCATTTTCTATTATTATTATTTATAAAAATTCATTTTAATCAAAGAAAACGTGAGGGAGCAATTTGAAAATTATAAAGATCACGGGGAAAAAAATCAATAATTTCATTTACGGTAAAAAAGAAAATAATTGATTAAAAAACAAAAACAAAAAATCAAAAGTATCTATCAATCAATCAATTCGCGAATTATTTGTGTCAGGCACGAAAACAAACATTGATTTTGTTTTTGACTAATTTTGTGAAAAAAAAAAAAAAAAAAAATTGTTAGTCTAATGTAAAATATGAGGTTTTGTAAAATTTTTATATCATTTAATTTTTTTAAATGTTAGGAAAATTTTTTTTTTTACTCCTGATTTTTTTTTTTTTTTTCAATTAATAATGATTTCAATTTTCTCTCTCTCTTTTTTTTTTTATATATATAATGAATTTCCTCTGACTGACACGAAAATTAGTCAGCATTGCGTGACTTTTTGTTGGTTGTTTATTAAACTTTGCCCTGCGCAATATATGCAATGAGAGATAGTAAAGATACACTGTTGTAAAGTGGCATTTAAGTCTACTTATTAACCGCTTATAAACTCGAACGTAAAATTTTGTTTGTTTGTTTGTTTGTTTTCTTCTTCAAATGTTAAAATATAACTCAAAAATCTTTTGCTCTTATTTCTTTTTTTTTTTTTTTGGTCAGCAACACCGTGTACTTTTACTTTGTCTTTTTTTTTTGTTCCCGAACAAACAATTTTTAAAATGTTATTGAATATATATTTATATGAATTTTTTTTATTCAAAATTACGAAATAAATGTAATCCATTACTCAAGTTTCGAATTCTGTGATGCCTGAAGTAGTGAAACGGCCTTGCCATTTTCCTCAAACAACAACCATTTAATTTTTTGTACCCGTTTAATTATTATTCAACTTTTCGAAATTTTTATAATGTTTTTTTTGTGTGTGTATCTGTGTGTATTTTTTTTTTTTTTAACTACT